CTTCCTTCTCTTCTTTCTCTCCATGGATTTAGGGTTTAGGGTTCCTTCCTTCTCTCCTTTCTCTCCATGGATTTAGGGTTTAGGGTTCCTGTTTCTCTGCTTGGATTCAAGATGAAGCAGATGCGTTGTCCCTCAAGCCCAGCCAAACCCCAAAACACCGCTAGCCTCAACAACCTCTCTGCAAGCAAAACCATCCATTGACAATCGTGTCGTCCTTGCAGATCTGCACTGCTGTCGACTAAACATTCAAACTTGGTCGTCGGCAAGGCCGTGCTTGACATGTTCCACCCTTAGGCGCATTCCGAACTCTTTTGCTCCGCGTCAGAGCGGAAAGGTGGATCCTGACATCACCTGCCGATCTTTCCGACATGTCAGTCAGCTCGGGAGTTGTGGGCGGGTATGTCTCACTTTTCAGAAACCATACCTGGAAGACTTCAGAGCACCATGAATTACTGATTCGGCGCACGGTGGTATGCGCACGAGTGCACTCGCCCCCACCCACATGCTCGCTCTCTCTGTCTCTGTCTCCCTCCCTCTCTCTCTCTCTCTCTCTCTTTCGGCAGGGTTCTCTCTCTCTCTCTCTTACCTCTTTCCTGGAGGTGCGGATATGAAGACCAGCAAGACAGCATCCTGCTTGAGTCCACCTGGTACACCCCAAATGCTAAACCTGCATACCTTAGAACCCTAGAGTCCGTAGAGCCCTAAACCCCAAACCCAGAAGCCCTCACCGACCACAGTATGAAGCAAGGAACCCCAAAAAACCAGGCCCCTATCAACCCTAAACCTCATTAAACCCAATATAATACGTACCTGCGCACCTCGGCATCCCGTCGCAAGCGATGCTCGTGGGAGAGCATGCCCTGCGACGAGTTCGACCAAAGCATGGAAGAGGAGAAGGCTTAGGCCTTACCCGGACCTTATTATAAAAGCTACATTTTTGAGGACTTATTCATAAGGAGCCCTAAACAGGTACGTAACGACGTAGGTTCTTCACGGTCCAGGCAATGCGGTTTCATTCGGGTTTGGAAGTTTAGGGTCTATAGGGTTCGGGGTGTAGGGTATGGGGATGGGGTGGGGGTGTCTACTCTGGATCTTGAAATGATTGAGGTCAGAATCAGGGTGGAACTTGCAGGCACGGTCAGCTGCTCCGTTCGGATTGCGGCCCTCTGCGCGAAGCTAACGTTGGCCTCGAGATCTTGGCACCGGCGTCGCTCCGCCCAAAGCTTGTCCTGGCATGAGACTTCTGACTAGTCTAGAAGCTTTCAGTATTCGAACAGAGTTTTGTGAACATTGTCATAATGCTATGTTTTAGCAGCATAAAAGGAACCGTAAAGGAAAGCATTACTAAATATTGAGGCTTCTATATTACTCGCACACTGTTTCCTGGCTATCAGCGGCATTTAGCGGAAATTGCAGCAATCTTGCATGAGTTTAATCATCTGAACCCATGTAACGGTGTACCAAATCGGTGATGCTAGCATTGATATTCGGCGCAAAAGTAAATTTTTGTCATGCTACTAAGATCGGAACTGCCGTTGGCCAGAATGCATGGCAACCAAATTTTCGAAGGTGTATGAGACTGGCAGCAGTGACAGCAGCAGCCGTTGCATTGCGTGAGTAGTGGTGGTGGTGGCACCTATACTACATTTCTCTTATTGGCATTGGCATACAGGGG